CTGAGCCAGACCAGCAGGGCTCCTCAGTTTTCTTTTGGCCCTCTGTATTTTGCACTGCATTCCCTTTCTTCTTTTACGTATAGCATATGGATTTGTGTTCATGTCTGTAATTGTATTATATTTTAGCTCTGATTCTTTCCTAAGGTGGTCTTAGAAATCTGGAATTAAAGAAGGCAGATCTCTCATTTGGCTGCTTCCCAGAATGACTTTGTGAAATAGAGCACCTCCCGCCCCCTTCGTCTAAAACCCTTTGGAATGTTTACTTGAGAAAAATATTAAAATTCTATTGTGTGTGAGTGATTGACCTCCTTAAGTTTATTTGTCACAGCCATTAGCCTAACTACAAAAGTTAAATATGCACTATCTTAAATTAAAGCAAATTTTTACTGTAAAGGAAATAGCAAAAAAAATTAGACTCAATCTTTTGTAGAAAACACTGCCCATTTGAAACCATGAAAAATTCTTATTTACTTGCTTTTACTTGTTTTGCAAAGTAATTTTCGAGATGTTGGTGATTTTCTGAAATCCATAGACAATATAAAGTAAAAGAGAGAGAACTATATTTGTTTGCAGTGGTCTTACATAGTCTATGACAACTCACACAGCAGATAGAGTTTGTGATAATGTCAATGTTGAGATGATCATATTCCTCTTTCTCTCACTTGAACCCAGTTCTGGGGCTCAGGGCCATAATGCTGAGCTCCTGCCTGGCTCTCCCTTTCACTTCCCATGTGAATTTATAAATAACCCTCAAACATTATTATCTCCAGTTTCCTCCACTATCATGCGGATAATCTATTACCCTACCTCCCTTTTATAGTTTTTGTGAAAACAAAATGAACTTTTATTCAGAAAAGTCCTGTGAAAAATCAAAATGTCAGTAAATGATTTAAGTATCATTTGGGCTTGAGAGTAGTTGGCTAAGCATTTTTTCATTAGTAATTAATGTTTGCATAAGACATCCTAAATTTTGTACTAATGACAATATTATCAATGTACTAGAGGCCCAGTGCACGATTTCATGAATGGATGGGGTCTAGCTGGTCCAGCCCCAATTGGCGGGCAGATAGGGGCTGGGCCTATCAGGAGAAGGAGTCAGCGGGAGATTGGCTGGCCAGCTTGCCCTGACTGGGGCCCAATCGGGGCTGGGCTGGCTTGGGGAAGGGGCAACAGGTGATTGGCTGGCAGGCCCCACCCCCAGAATGGTGTGGAGGGGCTGTTCAGGGGCAGAGCTGGCTGGGGGGAGGGGCCTCAGGCTGATTGGGGTGGTGGGGGCTGATTGGGGGTGGGATTGGCAGTGGGGAAGAGCTGTGGGTGTTGGGCCGGCCAGTTCTGCCCCCTATTGGGGTAGGGGAAGGCTATCAGGGGTGGGGCCTGCTGGGGGGAGGGGCTGCGGGCCCATTGGAGTGGGGTGGCCAATCAGGGGTGGGGCCAGCTGTGGGGAGGGGCCATGGGAGGTTGGGCAGCTGGCCTCACCCCCTGATCAGGCCAGTTAGCTGGCTGCAGTGGGCGTCATAGTGACTGGTCATTTTGGTTACAACATTCCCGCTGCTGGCTTTTTATATATATAGATGATGAAATACTGTGTTCACTCACTATGCTGTATGAAATATGAACTCTTTAGCATTAATAGATATAATATAGCAGAGTAAAAAGACTATTATTCACTAGTATATTATTGCTACATTTTCAATATATCAATTGATTACATGTATCTAGTCAAACAACCATTTATAATGTCTCTTGCTTCCTCCTATTTTCTAATAGGATTGAAAAAGTTAAATGTTTAAAATGGCACCCCAGAAGTAATCGACTCAATGCGTATAGAGAACCTCAGAAAAAGATTCATCAGGAAAATAGAGCTCCGGATTTAGACTCTGGAAGTTTTCCAGAAATACAAGCTTATCTAATACAATTTAGAATTATGAACACGTGACTTCTTGTGCCTCTCCTCCCTCACTTGATTCTAAAGAGTCAAGGATATTGCCCTAGCCAGTTTCACTCAGTGGATAGAGCGTGTCCTGAGGACTGAAGGGTCCCAGGTTCTATTCCAGTCAATGGCATGTACCTTGGTTGTGGCCACATCCCTAGTGGGAGGTGTGCAGGAGGCAGCTGATCAATGTTTCTCTCTCACTGATGTTTCTAACTCTCTATCCCTCTCCCTTCCTCTCTGTAAAAAATCAATAAAATATATTTGAAAAAAAAGAGTCAAGGATATTGATCACTGTCCAAAGAAATAAGATGCTTTGTGTGTCTCAGTGAGTGACCAAGGAACCAATCCCACAGGAAATTCACTAATGAGAAAACTTGGAAAAATCTTGAACACCATGTCCTGCATCCAAGCTACCTTGTCTGTCCTTTTAAGTCACTTGCCTTGTGGATTAGTGATGCCCCATTTCCTGTCTCCAGAGCAGAGACAAGTTGCTGCTCTGTTTGAATATTGCTTCCCCATACTTCTCTCACTTCTTCCTCTTTCTCCTTCTATTGTCATTTCACACTTCCTTCATCTGCTTTTTCTCCAGTGTGGAGACCTTGGAAATCTTGTGTTGAAGGTAGAGAGCCTCCTCTCCCCACTGGTGTATCTTGAAATGTTTGCAAGGCTGAGAAATAATTTCTTGTGTCTGAGCCATAGACCTATTTGGGACCACCTTTCGGAGCACTTTACCTGCACTAGTTAGAAGGTACACTCTTTAAAAACTGAAGCAAATTTGCCATTTACATTGATAGATATAGTTATGCATGGCAACAAATGTATTATTTACAATGTTGTACTTTTGTAACATCAAGACCAGGTAACATTTTTATTTGTTTATTTGTATTTTTTTTTTAGTATATTTTCCTAAATAGACCTGTGTCCAATATCCTCTGAGGAAGTAGAAAGGGAAAACCCATCACCAGTCTGTGCACTGAAGAGCTGCAGGTCTTATGACCACTGGTGCTGCCCATAGGATAAGGGAAACAGTGTTTTGTTAACCCTTTTGAGCGCTAATTTTATAACGAAAGTAACACAGAATTCAGGATAGTAGCCTTCTCTTCCCCTTTATCTCCCTGTGACTTTGTAAATGACCCCTAAAGATTTATGTGATTGTGTTAGGTCATCCAGGAACAAGGATAAAAAGAT